ATTTTTTCCCCCTCCCTCGGCAGTTCGGCCGGGAGCAGGGGGTACGTGCTCAAAAAAGTTTGACTGATGGGGTGCACAATCAAAAAAGTTTGGAGACCACTGCTATAGAGGTGCAGTATGTTTTATAGTCAGATAGGAGAACCCCTGCCTTCTAATGGCCTGAACCTACATCACTGAGCTTGAGGACTCTCCACACTTTGGAGAACTGGGTCCCAAGTCAGAAACTCTCATTATGCACCAGTGTTAATGAAATTTGAGCCAGATTCTCTGCCCTGTTCCAGCGGAGAGTAATTCTTACCTGGCATAAAAGCAGTTTGCATGCCAGCCGCCATCCCCATCATATGGCATAAGTCAGGAGTGGGGCATGCAGGTAACAGAAGGCCAGGATGAGGTGGAGGGGAGCACAGCTTCACTACATGAATTCACAGCTGGTGTATGGTCGCTTAAGAGACTGGCCAGCTGTCATCCATTAAAGCAGCCCCTAGGCTGCTCTAACTTATACCAGTAAAAGAGCATCTTAAGAATCCTGGAGCTGTACAACTTCCTCTCTGACCATCCATATTTTCTCTCCCTTCTTCTGTGCTGAATGGGTTTTGATGCAGGAAAGGTTTGATCCAGATTCTCAATAGAAAGGGCACATTTTAACCTCATTTTGTCTTGTCTGTCATTCTCTTAATATAGGTCTGGGGACTGACAGGCTATGGTTTAATTCATTCCTTTAAAAACGAACATGCCAAACAGTCCATATTCAGAAATATTGGTGCTGGAGTCATGCAGATTGAAACTGTGCAAGACAATCGCATCTTCTCCTGTGGAGCAGATGGCACACTGAAGATGAGAGTTCTACCTAATGCTTTCAACATCCCCGCAGGCATTTTTAACGTTCTGTAGATTTATGCTGTTTAGTTCTGTTTTCTATACAGTTCCGTTAAATAGCTACAATGCAGTAATATGCATTCATGAAAGGAATTATCGTACATTGCTTTCAGAGCAATTACTGCAGCATTAAATATTATATGAAACTGAAAAAAAGACTGACTTTTAAAGCAGGATTCTTGAGCACTGCGTACATAGATTGGTGGGAATGGAAATGCATGTAGCGCATTGTAAAAACAAAGAATAAAACCCATTAAAGTCATAGGTAGGTTACTGCTCAATAACCTACAGCAAGCCTTCTTTAGTAAGCATATTACACAGATTTTAACAGTAGCCACAGACATATACAAGCACCAGGGCGCTAAATAAAGTCAATAAGCAGTTTGTAATGTGATTCAGGTTTTATTTTTCTTCCAGTTCTTGCTACTAATTGAAGCATGTCTACAACTACTCATTTAAAAAAAATAGCCTGTTGTAATGAAGGGTATTCAGTGTATGGAAGAATTTGTAGGCCAGGAAAGTGTAATAGATGCAAAAGCTGTGGAACAATGTGCAATGAAGAACGTACTATAAGACACATGTATCGTTTTATGCGGATATTTTTACCAGGTAGTATTAATACACAGTTGATACTATACATTGCACATGAACACATTTTTAAAATGCGATGTTTTCTTAATTTGCACATTACTTTTTCTTTGATGGCTGTGTTTTATATTTTGGAGATCTGCCTTTACATTAGGAATGTAATGTGAACATTAAATGTTTGTAGTGAACAGAAACATGTTTTTAGTTAGCTTTTAGTTTTGAAACTCTTATGTTTGTCCAGGGAAAAGAAAGACTTCCTTAAATGAAGCTATGTAAGAGAATACCAATGTAACATACAATGCCACATTTCAGATGAATGTCAGGCTTTATGTGGCCAGCTAATAAATAGTTGATAAAACTGGTAATTTAAGTTATTACCACAGCATATTGTATAAACTATGCAGAGTTCAATATTGTTTGCTTGTAATATACTAGCCACTGTTGTCATATTTAGATGTATTTTTCTGTGTAAACAAAAACCATGTTCTTAATAAGATATTGGAATGGATGTCTGTGTATTTAAATGTTAACTAGTTGTCCTACTTCTTCAATAAGAATTTTGGTGTCTGTGCAGCAATGTAAAATATAATGGGATAAAATGCACCTTTCTCCAAAGGGGATTTTAATTGCAGGTTGTGAAGTATGGATATGAAAGAAAAGGAAGTGTCATTTGTTAGTTTTACCTTTGTAAGTTAAATAAATTCCTTTTATTTCATGTTTCAGAGTAGCAGCCGTGTTAGTCTGTATCCGCAAAAAGAACAGGAGTACTTGTGGCACAGGTTAGTTCCTGTGCAGTCTTTTGTCTTGCACTTAGACTTGTAGAAACTTCAATATCATGATTAGATCTGTAGTCACCATTAGAGCTAAAATTGTCATTGGCAAGAAAAGATGTTTGCAGTCAGACTTACTTTTGTGTTTCGCTGCTCCCAAGGGGTGCAAGATTAACAGAACTGAAGTTCACTTTCTACAGCACAGGCAGCTGCACTACACACTCTTCTTACACCATCCTGCCAGTATGGTTCCTGTCACTTGGGTGAATTCATTCTCCTTCCTGCTTGTTCAGTGTTTGGACTCTCTGATAAAGTTGCCCACAGTGGTGTCAATTTGATGGAAACAGTAATTGGTCTGAGACCACTAGTTCATTTGACATGCATCATATCAGAAAAGTTTCCCTTTCCAGCCTGCATTAAATTTGTCCTAAAGGTGAAAGGTTTCCTAATCCTACTGCTATTTTTCCTAGCCAAAGTGTCCTCAGTCAGTTTAATTACAGTAGTAGTAGTAATAAATACCAGCTTTAAAATGTGAAATTTAAAATGAGTGCTGGTATTTTATGTAGTCAAAATGAGCAAAACAAAAACAAACATTCTAAATTATTTCTAGTTTAACATCCTAAAGCTAAATTAAGTAGATTCAGTATATGTTATTTTTTTAATATATTGAACTTGCAACTTAAGGAGGATGTTACTCACAAAAATGAATTAAAATATAGTGCAGCAAATGACAATGATATTTAATGTTTCTGATATTTGTTACTGGCAGCAGTTCCTGCTTCACCTAACCACTGCATATTTTGAAAAGCTTTAACATAACTCAAAGTAGGTTAGTTACGTACCTCGGCACTTGTTACACACAGAACACTTTCAAACGATATCAAAGAATCTGACTTCAACTTACAAACATCAAGGAAAATCAAACTTCAGGCAGAAATGCATCCTTAGTACACCTACTTTGTTTTCACTGCCTGTTTTAGTGATTATGTTTACAGCATATACGTTGAGCAACCTTCCCATTAAGATAACACTTCTTTTTGTTGGGGAGGAGGGGGAGATGTTATATGTAAGATCTCCCACTCTTTGTCTGGATAATGATTTTTACTATGGTTATGTGAAGATGAACTTTCAGCTGAAACCCATAAAGGCAAAGGAACTTGGGTTCAGAAGTTTATTCACACAGTGTGTGTGTGTGTGTGTGTGTGTGTGTGTATATATATATATAGAGAGAGAGAGACTGACTTCACTCAGAAAGCTTAAAATGTGCTTTAAACTATAGAGATCTGTTCCACCCACCATTTGGAAATCAGTCATTGATGCAGTTAAGGAGGAAGCATTATGGTAGCCATGCTAATATAATAGATTAGAAACGGGAAGACTGTACTTATATGGAATTGAGGGTGTTATTTGTGAGTAGGAATGCTCATTACTCTGCCCACTTATATATATTTTTATGCTCCCTTTTTTTAAAAAAAAAAAAAGGGAGTTGTTTACATAGTCGCAATTCAATTCTTAAGAGAGAAAGTACAGGAGCACACAGAGAAAACAAGCACTCCAGCTGCAGTGCCTTTCACTCTAGTTCACCCTTACCTTGGAAGTCTTTGGTGGGGTTCAACTGTGATCAATGAGCCCTGGCCTCCTCAAGCTCTTGAAACAGCTTCCAACAGCTTGAGGTGGTGAAAAATGACCAAAAACCCAGAGGATTGCCCTCCTGTCCTTTTATAAACTACCAGTCTCCTCTGTCATGTGACCACCTGATCATTCACAACAGGTGAACATAGACCTCTCACCAGGTGATTCCCCTGATAAACTAACTTCTGGCAGAAGCCAGCCTTTTGTTTAGGAGCCTTCTATTTGACTAGAGAACTATCAAGATTTAACAACCTTACATTGTTAGCCCTGTGCTACTACCCCCCTTGGAAAACATGGTGGTAAAACATCAGAGAAGGTAACCAACCCCCACATTCAAAATGGCATCTGCAGGCTGATACAAACAGATGTTCATAATTTCAACAGAATTCATTTGTTGTCCACAGAAAATTTCCCCAAATCATCACAGAAAGCTGTTGCTCATAAATACCCTACCTTTTTCTATAGACAGTAAGATACATTGTAGATGGCACATCACTATTTTGTGACGACTCTAAAAAATATGAGTGACACTGAGAACATAACCCATTCAACAATGTTCCTTTGCCTGGTGTTTAATTTGAAAGGTTGGTGCTAACTTCTTTTTAGTGTGGGGGCATTGAGATAGGCAGGGGCAAATTGCTAGTGAAGGTCACCTGCCTGTGCAGGTGGCTGCATTGATGGGGGAGGTTTCCATCTTATGATGCTTTTTAGGCCAATCTCTCAGTTTAACATAGTATAGGTCTGATAATCATATCCAATATGCTTTTCTTTTTTCAAATGAGATATGCACTGGCAGCTGGCCGGTACAGCCGTTCCTGGGAACTGTTGATTTGTTTTTATCAGCTTGTAAAGATACCAATGGATCTGAAGTTAATTAAATTCCTTCACACAGTGCTGTAGAACACGTGGATGTTGAAACTCTGGCCTATTTGCCTTAAACACAAAGGCCTGATTCGCCTCTGCCTTGTGCTGTCATTTACACCCATTTAAAAGTGAGTGTTAAATGCTACCATTCTAACGTGGTAACATATTACACCTGGTAATCCAAGACTAAAGTCAAGCAGGACAACCAATTTCATCATCAAGCACTTTGACCAGTACATTCACTCTCATTCAAAGTTTTAGGTTGTTGGTTTTTTTTATAATATGCTAATACAACAGTACAGTCTTCATTTGTGACTAGGAGTTTTTTGTAAATTTGGGCCCAATTTCTGGGAAGCATCGTAGGGCAAGTTATACTTCCATAAAATGGTGAGAAAGATGAGGTTAGCTCAAGATAAGCAATCCAAAAAAAAAATGTTAAATAAAAGGAGCTTCACCTGCTCTGACTACATTTCTGATTGTAGCACCTCCTCCCACTGAGTACCTGAGTTCACATTTCACTAGCCATCATTTACATCACCTCTCTATTTGCTTTGTGGTTATTTAGTAGTTAGCCAGATTTGTCAAATTTCAGGATTCTTGCTTTTTTCTATTTTGACTTATAAATATGGAATGAGTTTTTAATAAACTATTACTTTGGTCTTTACGGTATTTACTTTAGTACAAAAATTACTGTCCCTGATCATTTTAATCACTGTACATCAATTTTTTTAAAAATATCACAACTAAACAAAATTCAGAGTTGATGCAAGGTATTAAATGGAAATGATACAAAGAAGCTTATTTGTAAACATTGTTTAGACATTTATACTAAGCTATAATCACTGACTAGAAGATAATTGTAGACAGTAATTGTAAATTAAGAGTAAAAACAGACCCTATTGAACATAGTATTGTAGAATAATCAGTATACAGTAGATATAATTATGGCCTGCATGGTAGGGAAAAAAACAAAAATAAGTTTCTAACACACAGCTCTTCCTCTATAAAGCTAAGAATTGCCTATATAATTTAAGTATATTTAAATGACACAAGGGGGTCTGGTCTCCCCTTTATGCACACACAAACAACCACTAACCTTCAATAGAAAATGTGTGTATTCTGCAGGGAGGAGATGTATAAGATATAGCTTTAAATAACCTACTTAGCCCAATATGGCCAGCATGTATCATTTTAAAATAGCATTCAGCTGTCAAAATGTACATGGTATTGCATTAAATAGCCATTTTCCCATGTATACAAGTCTCTATCTCTTAGACTATATGAAAGCATAGCAAGAACAGATTGTGCTGATCTTAACTCAAAGCTTGCATCGATTTGCTTCTCTCTCAACAAATCAAAAGCAAAAGTTACCCTCATATCCTTAGTATCAGTAACATATAGCACTCCACATGCTATGAATGCATTGCCAGCTTTGGACTTGGGGTATGTAGTGTTGATATGCTGAACGACTGAAAATGTCTCTTCGTCAATATGTGCGACAATGATATTTTCATCAATACTTGAGGCATAGATAATCCAAAGACCCTTTTCATCCACTGCCACGTTGAAGTACGTCTTGGCATTAGAAAAGAGGTAGTGGCGACTATCGTGTAAGGCATTTTCAATTCTCAGGGTTCTGAATGATGCTGTATCAAGCTCAAATCTGAAAGGAAATAAAATAAATATTTAAGATGCTGGTTTAAGAATTTGCTTTTCATACATACATAATTTGGGTAAATTCTTAGTAAGGAAGAGGTCTCTCGGGAAGAATTGTCTTTCCTTTACAATTTTTTAAAAACAGGACAGAACCTTTGCTCAGAGGGTTTAGGATTTCCTGACAAAAATAATTGTGTGCGCTCGTGTCACACTGCGTGTGCTTGCTAGGGGGAAAGCATCCTCTCCGGGTTTAAATAAATACTATGATAGTCCCATCAAAACAGTCAATCCTTCGTCTGTCTTCCCTGGAGAGATGTCTGGTGAGAGCATCGTAACAAACCAGGCACCCAAAACTCCCATCTCTGTCCTTTAGATTTGTGCCCTCTGAGCTGCCACCCCCAGTTCTGGTTTGGTCTCACCTTTTCTGGGGGAGGTGAATATGGTGGTCAAAGTGAGGTCAACTAGACCTTGCGCCAGATTTTGAAAAGCCTAAGGTGCTTTTAAAAAGCCCAGTAGGCTTCTAAAGACCATTAAAATCTGGCGCCAGGTACCCAGTGAATGAGTCTCTAGCTATCTAGGCTTTGTACCAAATTCATCACCATAGTAACTGAGCAATTTACAAATATTCAGGCTCTCAGGGCTAGATTCAAAAAAGGGATTTTGATACCTGAGATCAAAATTTAGATCCTCAAAACCCACCTACTCCTATAGGCACCTAAAATCCCTAAGCACCTACATTGCCACTGGTGGTCATGCACAAAGCCATTGAAGTTCTGGTGCTGCCAACCACCTCAGTGCCTAAGCATCAGTGGGATTCACAAACTAGGTGTTCCCTACCTATCTCACCTGTGATAATTCAGTAGGTGTTTCCAGAAGCTGCCTAAAAGAACGCCTACCAGATTGCATGAGGAGGTGCCCCCCCTTGTACCCAACAGCCCGGTGGTTAGAGTACTCACCCAGGTTGCAGGAGACCTGGTTTCAAATGCCCACTCTGCCAGATTCAGAGCAATGATCTGAGCCCAGGTCTCCTACCTACCAGGTGAATGCCCTACATCAGTGTTTCCCGAACTTGGGACGCCGCTTGTGTAGGGAAAGCCCCTGGCGGGCCGGGCTGGTTTGTTTACCTGCCGCGTCCGCAGGTCTGGCCAATCGCGGCTCCCACTGGCCGCGGTTCGCCACTCCAGGCCAATGGGAGCTGCTGGAAGCGGCACGGGCCGAGGGATGTGCTGGCCACTGCTTCCCGCCGCCCCCATTGGCCTGGAGCAGCGAACCACGGCCAGTGAGAGCCGCGATCGGCTGGACCTGCGGATGCAGCAGGTAAACAAACCGGCCCGGCCCACCAGGGGCTTTCCCTACACAAGCAGCATCCCAAGTTTGGGAAACACTTCCCTAGGCTATAGAGTCACTCATTCCTCTAATGGCCTAATGAAGATTTAAGTATTTCATTCAAAATGGAACAGCTTCAACAGGAGAGAATGAGAGAAACGCCGCCCCCCCCCCCCACACACACACACACAGAATCCCCTGTAGCCCGCTGCTTAGTGGGACATCTGGGAGACCACTGAAGTGTTAGGGAGGCAGCAGCACCATCACCTTCTTTTGTGAGAAAGGACTGACCTGAGCTAGGTTCATGATGTGAATCCCAAGTGGAGGGAGGTGACTCGCTCTGGCCCAGAGGATAGGTACCTGACTCCCTCTGGGGGGCAGGGGTTAAACCCCACCCTTCTCCTTGGCATTTCCTACTGGCTACTTAGGCAGCTCCTCTCTCATCGTGCTGGCTTCTGTAAACCTGATTCTTAGGCACTTACCTCTCCCCATGCATTGTACAGGGAGCCTGGGCGCCTAACTCAGGGCCAAGGATTCCACTAGGTGGCAAGGCGCCTACAGCTAGGGCATTGTAATGCTGAGCCTTCGTTCCCTTTGTGGCTCTGGCCCTACTTTCTCCTTCCCTGTATCCTCACAGTGGAGGAAAATATGACAGTGATAGTGAGAGTGTGGTCATTGAGGGGAAGCTTGGCTGAGGGTTGTGTGAGATTGGCAGTCATTCTAATGTACTCTGGGAGCAAGTTCCACACTTTTGGACCACCTACTCAGACAGTAGGCGCAAAGAAAATATCCAGAAATCCAAAAAAAACAAATAATCTTGGTGGGTTTCGCTATATTTAGCCTATGAAATCTTCTCTCGTCACTAAGAGAAGGTCAGTCAACTAAGGGGAGGAATGGGTTTGCAGAAGGAATGAAATGATGGTTCCATTTTTCAAGCTCCTTGCAAGTAACACTGGGAGAAGCAGCAAATTGAAGAGAAGAGGAAATTTTGTGGGCTGAGTTTGGGCCCGTTCACCTAGTCGTATAGCTCCACAACACGTTAATTGATCACAGATACTTCTAAAAGCCATTCAAATATCAAATAAAAACATCCTGCCAACAGTCTGACCTCACATTGGCCTCCATAAAGGAAGCCTGAATGTCTCGTCTGAAATATAAAAGCATTTTTATTCCTTGAAACTCCTAGATGATAGAATGATAATCTGTGAACAACAGCGCTCAGCAAGCTACTAAATGCAAGTTTCTCTGCTAGTTCAAGAGGGTAATCAGCTACTACTCGGGCATATTTTTAGTTTGTATATAACCACTGAATGATGCAGTGTTTTGGCGAGTATAGAGAACGCGCGCTTTATCCTTTGGATTAATAAATTCACAGACTAGGAGCATGTTTGGTGGGCTGGCTATTACCTAAGAATGCCACCCACCAAGTCTCCCAAGACACAGGAGGAAAGCACATTCAACACAAGAACCTGCAGCAGATCCACGAGCTCTAAGGAAAAGAGGTGGGCCCATCAGTAAGGCTAAGATTTACTTCTGGGTATTTTTAGTAAAAGCCATGGACAGGTCACGGGCAATAAACAAAAATTCACGACCCGTGACCTGTCCATGACTTGTATTAAAAATACCCCTGACTAAATCTTAGGTGCTCTGGGGGCTTCCGGGTGCCACTGTTGCTCCAGGGGGGCGCCTGGGTGCTGCTGCTGCTTGGCGGGGGAGAGGCGGCCCGGGCCGCCACTGCTGTTCCAGGACCGCTGTTCTGGGGCTGCGCCATGACCGCTGCTGCTCCGGCAGCCCTCGGGGCCAGCTGCCTGGGGCCGATCAAGCAGCGGCTGGCGTGGCTGGCCCTGGGGCCGCTCCAGCAGCAGCAAGCGTGGCTGATCCTAAGAAAAGCAAAGATCAGAAGTGACCATCATGATCATCCAGCTTGATCTGCACATTGCAGGCCTCACAACCTCACCCACCCAGCATGTCAATCTGGAGTGGAGGTGCAGCAGTACCTCTGCAGCATCTCCTTACTCCACCAATGTGAGAGCTCCACAGAGCAACAGCTTCATGGCAGGAGAAGGCTTCACTGATGCTGAGCCAGTCAACATCAACTTACTCTCCTCCTCTGTATAAACAGCCTTACCCCTGGGGGAGGGAGGAAGGAGACAGGCCTGTAAGGGGATAGCCCCCGGGAAGCGCAGCTCTGCAGGAGTTGTGTATCCATAGAGGGCTGGAGGAGATACAAAGCGTATGAAAGCAGCCAACCTCTACTGATCTAAGATACATGTATTCTGCAGGGCTGAGCCTCTGCCCTTTTCTGCCTCCTACCTGCACACCACCCACACAGCATGATGAAGGAAAACCTGGGCTTGGTCCTTGTTGGGAGTGATCTACTCTAGAGTTATAACCAAGATAGTTCCTTCACTCACCACCACCACCAGCTGCTTTGGGTATGGCATAGTGCACTATTTCACTAGTGTGAGAGAAGGAAGATCAAACTGAAGATCTTTTCTTGAACGAAGCACATGAGAGAAAGGGACAAAGCATTCTCATTAGAGGAGATCTGCCCTTGGAAAAGGCTGCCAGGGGAGCTCAGACAAATCCAGAGTCTGATAACTTTTGGAAATGCTGCAAAACCTTGTTCTTTGATAAAAATTTTTCCAACAAAGCAACATTTACAACATCCAGCAGCCAGCTCCCTCTACATTGAGTCCTTCACATAAAACAACTATAACTCCCCCAAGTAGAACTTTCTGTAACCCAAAAGGGAGAAGAGCTAGAGACTCTATGAAGTCCACTGAAGACTTTGCCAATCTATTCTGCATGGAAGTAGAATTTCTGCTTGAGGTATTAATAACTGAAAAGTGCGGTTGACAATAGAAAGGCCATCTCTTGGCAATAGGTACCCTATCATATTACATTGTCAAGATAAGTCGAGGTGGTTCAAAGTCTGAGAACATTTAAGGTGCAAGGAACTGGAAGGGTCTTTGGTAGAACAAACAATGTATGATCCCAGCAACCAGCTCACATTCTTTTCTCACTGCATCCCTTTGGGTGCCAGAGATGCACACCTGCCTGGGGAGAAACTTCAAAATACCATGGTGTTCTTGGCTCAGATGTCAGAGACTCAGCCGGAAACTTGAAAGCAGTTGGAATCTTTAACTTGTCCTTGAAGTCCATTTGCTTGGCTCTTCCCACAAGGCTGAGTTTTGTTTTTGATTAGCACTGTCTGCCCGACTCCTCAGTAAAAGCTAACAAGACACAGATGTGGTGGCATGAGCAGTTCCAGGTTCAGACCCAGCAGAGGCGGGGTGGGAAAGCCATAGCAACTTTCTAGTTATGTGCAATCATATTGTGAAGTCGGCACTCTACAAGGGAGGTTGCAGGCTCACCACGTTGCCTTGTAATCACCTGATGCCTGAGGACTGGTATATGGCAGTCAATGCACAGCACAAGTTAGAGACCACTACTAGCAGCACTAGATTGCATGTGACTTTGTGACTGAGCTACTGCACAGCCATACATGCATGCCAGCTCAGCAAGAAGGCCTGGCATGCCAAGAAGCTCCTGTGCCAAAGGCAAGTTCCACTGTATCCTACCTTTCATCATTACGTGGCATGATTGACATGATCCAGGGAGCTGTCTGAAACAACAGACGATCAATACAGTGGGCTGAACTTTCTCGGTGCCAGCTGAGTGGAAAGGGGAGGCTCTAAGCCACCTTTTCACCTCCCCAGTCCTGGGGCTGAACCAGTTCCTAGCATAAGGTAGGGCTTCCATATCATTGCTCTAATTTACACGGCTGGAAGAGCCATTCCACTGGCCCAGGATCACCAGAGCACACAGCACTCTGGCTCTGCCCTCAGCACACAGCTTTGATACCTTTTTGCACCACAGAAGCAGCAGGGTTTTCCCCTGGGATGAAGATCTAGCTAGCTCAAAATAGTTAATATTTGTAAAGACTGATTCATTTCCTTGCTTTCTTTCTCACGTGCTTTTTCTGCCCTGATCCCACCATTAGACCTCCCCGCCCCAGTTAGAGCCCCATTAACTTCAGCGGGATTCTACCCAGGCCAGGGGTCCAACTGCAGGATCAGGGCCTAAATTTGTCAGAACAATACAAGTTATAAGATGTAAGCCTATTGACAACCGATTCTCCTGTCGCACATTGTGGGCTCCACCTCTGCATTTGGTGGCCATTTCTAGTAGTAACTAATGGATAACTAGTTATCCATTGATTTAGATACCACTATCCATTCACCTACCCTTCCTATCCACCCTCTCTTTCCACCCGCAATCCCAAAAGAAACCCAAAGATACTACAGAACATGTAGACACAGAGAACAGAGTGTATTACCAAAAATGTTAGGGGTTTTCTCACTGAAGTTCATCTTTGCTCTTTTAATCTCCATTCATGTTCCCTGTTCTCATTACTCCTTGTGCCTTCCACCCAGTGAAATGCAAAGCCGCCATCAGGCTAATCTTTGACTTACTTCACAATGATACTGGTTCCTCCTTTTTGATAGTATAGGCAGTTGTTATATATCACATGGCCACATCCATAAAAGATCCCCGTGAGGTTAATGATCCTGTAGCTGTCATTCAGCAATGCGTTTGCATTCTCATATTCTTTTATGAAGTTTCCTTAGGGGAGGGAAAACATGAAAGAAAACCAGCCAGTTGGTTTACTGAACTATCTGACATCTCTACTCTCATCCAGATACAAGTCTTTCAGAATCAAGTTCCTGCCAATCATAGCCACATTTTTTAACATTTTTCAGAGTGCTGGAACATAAAAACCAAGAGACAAAGCTCCAGATAAGCCCAAATTATTGTGTTTATTATTCAACATTTGTATTGTGGTAGCATCTAGATTCTCCAACAGGGGACTGGGACCCAGGTCACCCAGAATCCAGCCCATTTCCATGTTTTTCCTGTTCTCGCTCTCTTCCCTCTCCTCCCCCCCCCCCCCCCGTTTTTTTTTAAACCTTTAAACTTGAAAGCCACGGTTTAGGAAACTGAAGTCACAGGGAAATGGTAGGATTGATGTAAAAATGAACATAAATAAGACACATTAAAATTAGGCTTGTTTGAAAACTTTCCCTTGAAAGGAATTTTTTTGCAAAACGTGTTTGCTTTCCACAATTTTTTTTTTTGGGGGGGGGGGGGGATGAAATTTTTTTTGGTCAAAACCCAAAAGCACTTCAGCTGAAAATGTTTGGTTTTCAGTGAAAATTTTTCAGCTTTCCACTGAAAAGTTGAAATTTTCCACAGAAACCCCTTCCACATTTTCCAAGCAGCACTAATTAATACCTTCTCTGAGGCTCCAAGAGGTATGTCCAGATATATTATGAAAGCAGATGAAGTTTTCAAATAAATGTGACTGAGACCTGGAAAAATTGAGGCCTCCCTCCACTTACATTGATTCAAGTTTGTTGCTATTCTTCCAGAACTCTTCTGTTGGCTAAGGCGGGGTCACATGACCCTGTGAGCCAAAGTAGAGAAGTCACAGGAGAAGGTCATTGATGCTGTGGCATGTTTAAGGCACAAAGGCCTTTTAAAAGGTTATAATAACAAATTATTAGGCAGACAATCTGGACTGTTCCAGTTCTAGTTTAGAAGAAGAAAAAATGATGCTACCTGGGTTTAAAAATAGGGTGACCAGACGTCCTGATAAAATCGGGACCATCCCGATATTTAGGCATTTGTACCGATATTTCGCAGTACTCCTTTTTTTTTTTTTTGCTCCGCCGCGTTCCCTCCCGCCCCCCATGTGTCCCGATATTTTCTTCCTCTCATCTGGTCACCCTATTTAAAAATAACCTCCACTGTGCAATACTGCCCCTGGCTTTTCAACCTGTGGGGCAAAAGACCTCCCGACTAAAGCTCACTTTCACTCATTACAGTATTTTACACACTATATTTCTAACAATACTGATTTGGCTGAAAAAATGAAAAAAGCAATATAGGATCAACCTATCCACAATTATATCCACGGTACCTGAAAAATGCATCGTAAGCCAAATTCTTTCATCACTTCTATTTGCAGGTTCCCTCATCCATGTTCCAAATGTTTGCTGTATCTTACCCATCTCAGTGGGACTTCCTATTGATTTAATGATGCATTCTAATAGCAAAGAGAAAAACAAATTTGCATCATCCCCGACCTCCGCAAGTAAACAGTAAACTTTAATAATGCAACATATTTAGAATAAGTTACCAGCTTTTTTTGGATGGTATCCATTGGTTTTCTCATCAGCTTTTCCTACCAGCGTGTCATCATTTGGTATGGCACATGTCTCACCTAAAATTGGGGGCACAGAAAACAAAACCTTTGAATACGTTTGACAGATCTGGGGCACATTGTCAGTTGGTGTAAACTATTCCACTGAAGTGCATGGACTGTGACAATTTATACTAGCTGAGGATCTGCCCCATGTTTCTTATATTTCAAGATTTCTTACAAGCAAAAAAACCCCAAAGTGTGGAATATGAAATACAGATCATTCCGTTTAATACTTATCCAACATTGTTTAGCATGTGCACTTGTCACCAGTTAAGGTTGTGTCAAAATTCAGAATTGCAATTTTATAAAGTTGGCTATAAAGATAAGTTTGGGGATAATAACATTAGTATATGCTTTGTGGCTTCCATGTTTATCACACTTTAAAACAATAATTCTTGCTTTCTTTAAGCGAAACATTTCGGTTAACCAAATTAAAATACTTTTTGCACTTGTCAAATAAATCCTTACATTTAAAAATGCACATAAGTGGCTAGTAACGCGTCCAATAAGACAGGCGTAGAGGCCAGACATGGGGAAAGTCTTCCCTCCCCACTACTTCAATATAAAAAGCAATTCTGTTCACACATACGCCCTTCCACAGATTTCAATCTGCTCCAGTATGACATATCGTCCCGAGGTGTATGTGTGCAAAGCTGCAGCCAGAGCCTTATGCTTCCACAGTTCTCATACCTGATGCAGCAACATTTTATATGCAGTCTCTCCCTTTTACAAATGAGAAAGTCTTCTTCAGCCTTCGTGGGAGCAAGGAGTCAGAGGGCTTGTCTGCACTATGCTTTAGTCCACACCAGAGGGGTGTAAATTTTAGTCCATGCTAGCGTGTCATGCACTAACTGGCCCATGTGGACCCTGCTGATGCACACTAAAAGTTCACTAATGCACACTAACGTAGTACCGGTTGAAACAGGACTACATTAACACACACTAGGGAACTTTTAGTGGATGCCAGCATGGTCTACATGGGCCAGTAAGAGTGCATCATACTAGTGCAGACTAAAATTTACACCTTTCTGGGGCAGACTAAAGCACCATGTAGACAAACCCAAAGAGAGTCCCAAGCTCTTCCTCCACATAGAATTATATCTTGCTGACACTAGGCTAGTGTCATGAGAAGCAGCACAATCTAGTGGACTGAGCATAGGACTAGAGCTAGGATTCCATGAATTCTAATCCTGTTTCTGCCACTGGCTCACTCGATGGCCTTGTCTACGTTATTTGGCTTCTCTATAACTGTCTCCAGATGAAGTGGTGACGCTGGCACAAGACAGTAAGTGATGGAAAGACTTCATTCAGTCCCATTGTCTCTACTGAGCTGACAGACGGGAATCAAAGAACAAGATAATGGTGTCCACCTTATCTACCTCATGGAGCGGATGTAACGTGTTTGTGTAGCACTTTGAAGCTGTACACTTCTGAGCCAGTTCCTACCACATTTGTTTGTATTGATTGGTCTCTCTGAGCCAGATGTGCGCCTATAGAGGAAAATCTCTGGATTAGGAGTGAAAAGGAATAGAAGGGGGAGAAGTGCTGATTCCACCCCCTACAGAAGAAGCTGAGGGTTCAATTTCTAAAACCTTCACACTCTGCCTTTCTGTCTGCCTTGGACTATGCAGTGAAATATACAACTTGACTTACAGGGGAACCCATTTGAGTGTTCACTACCACCGCAGCCTTTATTTCCTTTGTTACCCTGATAGGAAGGCTGGGCTGGTTTTGTTTCCCTCCTTAAAGTTTTCAGACTCTCAGTCTACTTTTTTCAGAGTAGCAGCCGTGTTAGTCTGTATCCGCAAAAAGAACAGGAGTACTTGTGGCACCTTAGAGACTAACAAATTTATTAGAGCATAAGCTTTCGTGGGCTACAACCCACTTCTTCGGATGCGAAGAAGTGGGTTGTAGCCCACGAAAGCTTATGCTGTAATAAATTTGTTAGTCTCTAAGGTGCCACAAGTACTCCTGTTCTTTTTTCAGTCTACTTTGGGACTAAGTCATTTTGTTAAACAACAGAAACGTAAATGCCTTGCTGTGAGTTGCTAGGGAGCATGTGCGGCACCTTTTCTTAACACATGTGAGACGGCAGGCAGCTGTCCAACTTGTCCTTTGATACGATGAAGAATGTTTGTTTGGGAACACTAGAGGCTGATAAATGACTGAAACTCACATGTAAAACACCTACAAACCACCAGAGGGGGTATCCTCAGCAGGCAGCAGGCGCAGTCCCACTCCTGCCTTCAAGGAGAGTACCTCTACTAATGCACACCAGAGCTTGGCTTCATGCTGACAGAACACGGGGCAGCTGTCTGACACTGCTTCTTTTTTTAATTGTAAACAATTAACGCTTATGCACTGTATCTTTCCCCTCTGGAAAGCAGTTCATGGAAAGAAAACAACAGAGACAAAGCTGGAAGCATTTTCCTATTTGAAAGAAATTTGTTGTTGTTGTTTTTAAACATTCTTTTGTAATGTTCCCTAAACTATTTAGGCGCCTTTACTTATTCCCTGAAAGCCACAGCTGCCTTTTCAGCAGCAATTTATGACCCATTTTTGATTCACTTACAGAGAGCCTCTCCAAGGAACAGTTCCCAGTTCTGTTTTTACTTTAGCGTGGCTGGAGGTAACCCAAGCTCTTTGTAACGCCATTCTCCCAACCCACGCCACCCTGTTGATCTGTTTTGTCCACCTATTTTATCCTGTCTGATGTGTCAGTTGCAAGCTCTTTGGGGGAGGGACTGTCTTTTTTGTTAGTTGTTCATACAGTACCCGGCACAATGGGGCCTTGATAGAGGTTCCTAGGTATTAAGGTAATACAAATATTAAATGACATTAAAACAGTTGCTGAACTGCAGCTTGACGCTCAGGAAGGAAGAAATAGATTAACTGATCCATTTCTCCTGCAGTCCTCCTCCCTCTTTCCTCTGGCATGCCCCTCACTCCCACCTCTTGTGCAGCACAAAATGGAGGATTTCCGATATAAAATGAGCAAATGGAATCCTACTTTACCCCATCCCTTTTACAAAGGGCATAGGGATTCTGGTTTTGGGTGATGAGGTCAGAGCTGTCCACCCTTGAGAGCAGATGCACAGACATCCCATCTCAAAAAAGACCCAACAACACAATCCGGATGAGTCTTTTGGAAATCAGTGTCCACAGCCAGACTCTAGTAATCCTTATACAGCCCCTTTCATCCCATGATGTCAAAGTACTGTGCCCAAAAGGGTAACTAGAGTTACTTTCATTGTAGCGATGGAGGAAGGATAGAGCAGGGGCAGGCAAACTTTTTGGCCCGAGGGACACATCTGAGTGTCTTCCGGGAGCCGCACAGAGCCACGGCACGTGTGGCGCGGGGGCAAGCCCCCAACCCCGCTCTCCAGCTGGAGCACTGGAGCGGGGCAAGCCCCGGACCCCGTTTCCTGGTGGAAGCTCGAGGACCAGATTAAAAAATCTGAACGGCTGGATGTGGCCCCTGAGCCGTAGTTTGCCCACCCCTGAGATAGAGGTTCAATGACTTGGCCAAGGTCATACAGAAAGTCAGTAGAAAAGTAAGAATAGAACATCTCTGTCTCCTACTCTACCATATTAACCAAGACAGCACAACATCTCAGCCTCCTCCATGTCTTGAATATTCTAATAAAGAGGTTTTAATATCTCAACACAGATGTTTGTCTTTGCTGAACCCTTCGCAAAAAGCAGAATGGCTCGTTTTGAATAATATTGTATCTTATACTTGCCAGTCACTGGGAGCCAGATACATAGGATTTGATCATCTTTTGAAATTCTCATAGCAAAAGCTCCCCAGAGCTAAGAAATTATACCCCTGAAGTTTATGCTTCCCAGACTAATTCTAATTAATGTAGTTAACTGTACTACAGCTCTCCTAGACGGCAGTTTATCTGTGACTGGAACAGTCAAGGACCAGGTCAGTGTTCCTGATGAAGTTGAGTGCAGTATTTGGGTTTGAGAATAGCTATAATATTCTCCATGAACTTTTAGCTGAAAGAAACTAAAAGCAGCTAAGACAAAAAGATATTTTTCACTTTGAGATAAACCACAGCTTGAGAATCTGCCATTTGGAATTTTCATTGCTTACGTTGTCCAAAAAAGATTAGCAGCCTGTATATTCTGACAGTTATTGTCTTCTTTCTGAGGAAATCAAGTTTCCTTTATTAATTGTTTCAAAATATTAGCTAACTAGATTCTTTTTAGTATCCGTATTAGCATCTGAAACCATTGTCTTAATTTCAAGTTGTCTTTTTCTGGTTTCTTTTTGGGAAAGTAAATGTAACAAGTTAGTTTAGTTAGCTAAACTATTAAATTAGCACACATATATGTTTACTAGACAGATGTGCTGGCAGGGTAAGGGACCTGTGGACAGCTAGTGATAGTCATAGAGTCATAGACTTTAAAACTTTAAGGTCAGAAGGGACCATTATGATCGTCTAGTCTGACCTCCTGCACAACGCAGGCCACATAATCTCACCCACCCACTCCTGTAATAAACCCCTAACCTATGTCTAAGATACTGAAGTCCTCAAATCGTGGTTTAAAAACTTCAAGGTGCAGAGAATCCTCCAGCAAGTGACCCTTGCCCCACGCTGCAGAGGAAGGTGAAAAACCCCCAGGGCCTCTGCCAGTCTGCCCTGGAGGAAAATTCCTTCCCGACCCCAAATATGGCGATCAGCTAAACCCTGAGCATGTGGGCAAGACTCACCAATCAGACACCCAGGAAAGAATTCTCTGTAGTAACTCAGATCCACCCCATCTAACATGAAGTGTTTTGCAAAATAGATCAAAACTATCAATGTTTTACCAGAAACACTGTGGATTGAAAGGCAGCAGTTTCTCTAAATTGCAATGTTGTATTCACATTGTGCTAATAAAAACAAGATAGGGAATCTGTGCGTATGTGTCAAGAGTTAGTAAAGTAAAGCTTACACTGTATATAAAAAATGCACAATTAATATGTGGAACTCACTGCCACAAGATATTATAGAGGCCAAGAGCTGTTAAGGATTCATAAAAGAATGGACAGATTAAAAAATATACATTAGCTAGGATAAAAATGTTTATTATCTCAATATAACCCTGATGTTTCAGGACATAAACTAACCATTAATTACCATGGTTAAAAATAAACTCCCTCTGTAGGCATGACATTGCAAAACTGTACATTGGGAAGGTATTACATCTTCCTCCGAAGGATCCTGGATTGGGCATCAGTTTGGTGACAGGATACCAGATTAGACGGCCCATTATTCTGATCTGTTTATACCTGTGTTTCTATATTTCAAGTAGAATCAGACTTCTGCTAAACTGTTCATCTTATTGTTACCTAATCCTTCCACCCCATTTGTCTGTTTAGTCCACCTGTTGTCTCCTGTTTGATACCTATACCTGAAGCTATTAGAGGCAGGGACTGTCTTTGTCACTTCTCAGTACAATGCCTAGCACAATGGGACTCTGCTCCTTGATCGGTACTATCAGAACATGGATAATAAAGAAAAGAGAAAAGAAGAGATTGAAACATATTCTGTTTGGTACTAACTCCATTAACTACTTACAGCGAGAGCTCATAATAAGAACTGCATTTTCATCCTAGCAAATGCTGCAGAATTACAGTGAGAAAAACTACATATATATTTCTGAAGCACATACTAGCCTTAGTTCATCTGAGGTCCTTTAACCGAAGGCTAACATTGCTAATGGCTGTTAATATCCACTTCCCCAGTTATCTTCCTTTCGCTAGATAAATTATATGCTAGACACAGCAGACAAAGCAAGGTAAAGGGCTACAGCAGCTGAAATGGCACAAGATGAAACTGAGAGCATTACTCCCAACAACTATCAAGAGCTCTGTCCTGAATGCTGAAAAAACACCATGTTCCCACTGCAACACTAATTACTAGAATGTGAAATCCAGTATTAATGGTGAGATCTAATGATAACTCCACATGCTTAAACATTAATGACAGCATCGAGTTATTGTGACATTCACCTTCGAGCTAAACTACAAAACTACAAAAGAAAACCCACTTTACTAAGTACGTTCACAGATTATTTCCATTAGTCATTACTCAATTCACCTTCTTCTGCATCTCCACATAGCAATTACAGCATTTATCTTCTGATGGACTTTGGGTTGGACTACTTCGACCTCGTTAAACAGGGACATCATCTGCTCAGCAAAATTGTTCCAAGATCCACTAGGAAGATTTCAACTGCCACTATAAGCCTGAAATATTCATTGGTTTCCGTGCATGTAGGGAAAACAGGACAGCAGGGTAGGATTCATTATGAGGCTCCAAGAGGAAAAGTTTGCTTGCATTCCCAAAAGCGACTAACAAGACAAATGTGATGGTTTTGTAGCATATTCTCTCTGCTTTCCTTATCCTGCTGCTAGTCTGAACTTAGATCTTTTAGGATTATCACAGTACATTGTCTTGCTTCCAGCACCCATCTGCTTGAGTCTCCTAGTCATCACCTCCAGCTCTTCTAATTGTGCCAACTCTCCACTGACAAAAATTGGCTCATTCACTTCCAGGATGTGAAAATGACTAGAACTGGGCCCTTAAAATTTCATTTTCTGGCATTTTTTTCCACAGGAGTGTCCTGTGATGATTCTGGCTGAGATTTTAAAAAATAATGAGTGATTTCAACTGGAGACACCTTAAAAGGCCTGATTTCCAGAGGGTGGGTGTTAAGGACTTTCTGAGCAACGGGCTCCTTTTCCATGTCTCAAGTTGGGCACCCAAAAATTGAAATATCTAAAATCAATAGTCACTTTTGAAAAAACTTTTGTCCCTCAAAACAACAACACTCAGTACTTAGACAGTTATTATTTTCAAAGGCCCACGGCAAATGCTAAGACCCAATAAAACACCTCATTCTGTTTATTAAAAACCATCCCCTTCCTAAATATACAAAAAGAAGACACTCAAATATATCCAGAAAGCCAGTTTAAAAATCAAGCACAGAAAAATGCCAAGCACAGAAGGAAACATTTAGTTTAGACATGCAATAATAGATATTAATACATTCTTTCATAACATGTTGACACCAACCCTTCCGTCCCACAAAAGTGCTTAGCTGAAAAGAATACGAGTATCTTATTCCTGTATTAAACTCTGGTGGGGTGGCAAGAAGCTCAGCACATTTATTACTGTCAACTTTCTTACGAAATACTCCTGCTGTGTAAAGAGCAAGTTGTTTACCGCTAGTCTTCTGGTGGAGAAGAGGATAAATGGAAGAATGCTAATTGATAGGACACTGCTCTAACAGAGCAAAGAGGAACTTTTCCAGAGATTTAAAAATACTTCAGCTATGAGGCATAATTTCCAACTATTTTTGATTGAGAAAAGAGTTATGGATAAATGCTTTGTTTACCATATGTTACGGTGACTAAGGACAGAGAACAATGGCCAGGAGTGTAGTATGTAAACGAACAGCATGAAGTACCATTGTCACACATTTCTCATTTATACACTGTCTTTTGCAAGCTTTAAAGAATTACAAACTATGGGTGTCACCTCACCCCATTGGGCCCCTGTACACTGGGTAAAAAGCCCCATTTTCGGCTGGGGGAGGAAGACTTGGCTTTATATTCCGGTTCTGACAATTATTTGCCGTGTGATGTTGGGCTAATCGCCCATCCCAGCCAAGCCTAAATTTTCCTAGCTGTACAATTGAATCAGTGATATTTCCCCAAAGTAACTACAAAATGGAATCAATGATATCTCCTAGGGGTACATGACACCTACCTAAATAATATCTGTACACTATTTTTATGACCAGTGACCAGGAAAGGTGGAAACAGAACTCAGGAGTTCCTGGTTCCAAGTCCCACGTTCATGTCTTTTGGACATGCAGTCTCTGAGGGTGGCACTACCTTCTTCTCCTCCAACATCAAAAGTCCTTCACGTCTAACTCAATTCAGCAGCTGAGTAGGCATTTCACTACACAATTAATATCTGCACACATACATACACCACATGAATATTTAAGATTGGCATTTAAAAGACAAACAATTTAGCAAAAAATTGCAAAATACAAAAAAAACAGTAAAAAAAACTATTTTAAAATATTTGCAAAATTTTACTGTTTTTTCACTCAGCTTTCTCAGAGCCTTTCCTTCCCAGAGCACGCACTATTGATATTGCACGTGTTGTTTTTGAGTTAACCCCCTCGGGGGTGAGGATGGAAAGTAGTTCCCATATTGTCCAAGGAGGGTAACTCTTGAATCCCCAACCTCTCGTAATTCAGATTTCACTTACTTTACCCCCTTATTCCATCCAGCAGAGAGCACCATATGGAAATGTGTAGCCCCACAGCGAGAAAGGAGTGAGTGTGAGAAAGTAGGGGGTTGTCAGAGAGACTGATTACAACCTCATCTTGGCCAGGGCACTTAAGTATTTTCTTAACTTTAAGCATGTGAGTAGTCTCACTGGAGCTAGCAGAGTTAAGCACATGCGTAAGTGCTTAGTGGAAACGGAGCCTTACAACACGTGTAACCCTGCACCTGCTATAAAGGAAAGCATGAGAATAATGGAGGATACCCCGGACACCAACACTGACCTGTGCACTTGCTGCTGTACATGTTCTCCTGAACCTGGGATTTTGCTTTGCGCTTCCCTGGTGGCCCGGGAGGACCTTGCGGCCCTGGGGGCCCTGGGGGCCCTGGCTCCCCCTTTGCACCTAGGTAGAAAGCAGAATAGAGGATTACAGTTGCTGCAGGTGAACAGACCTCCTCTCAGCAGGGGGCCACTGTGTGCATTGGATCTGATGTATTGAGAGAGGCTTGCAGGAACTAAAGCCCCTACCCGTGCCTGGAAAGACCCCAGCACAGCGGCCTGCTTCAGCAGGTACAGAGCTGGTTAGAGTTCCATACAGCAATGATCTCCACTGCAGGAGCAACAAGCTGAATGCTTGTCTATTCCCAAACAGAGACCTTCCCGCCCCCCCACATTTGTGTTTACAAGGGAGCAAAGGGCTTTGCAGTGACAGAGCAGCACTAGGTGTCCTGTCCGCTCTTGACAGACACTGATTTTAATAGCACCCAGTTTTTTAAAGAAGCCTGGTGCTTGTCCCACTGTCACAAATAAACTGGGTTTCCAGGTCCTTTCAGTGTCTGGGGCACAGCAACAATGGAGAGAAAACTGAGCTTTAATTTAAAGCAGGGCTGCCGTACATCACTGTTTTCTGAGCTCTCAGCATCAGAGGCTACAGTGCTATAATTTTAGGCAGCATTTATTTGTGGCTGCCAATGGGCTTCCTGCATGCATTCCTGGGTGGAAATCTGCCTGTCGTAATCTAATAGGAAAAAACCGCTCTGTGAGAGAGTAGGAGGAAATTTACCATGTGAAAATGTACTGGAGAAGGATGAAATTCACACATCTCTCAGCCCAAAGCCTGAGTAAAAAGGCTTTTGTGGGGAACTACACTAGGCTGGGGAGCATAATCCCATGGGCAGCTCTACCAGCCTGCTTCAAAACCCTCCTACATGCTGGGCTGCCCAGAGGTGGGATGCAGCCCAGCCCTGCTGAGCAGTGTGTGTGCAGAGTCTCCCTGTGCACCTGCTCACCATTCCCCAGGCAGCAGAACTGCTATAGTTCCTCTTTACTGGGAACCTTCTGAGGTCCCAGCAGGCCTGTGGGAATGTCACTGCAAGTGACGACCATGTTTAAGACAACGAAAGCGCGAATGCAGTTACTGTAAAAATACTGTGGTAGTGCTGCATGGTAGTGTGTGGCACTGGCCTGCAGAACACCACAGCACTAGAGAAGGGTAGTCTATTTTATTGTGTTGTATATTTCTGTGCTGCAGGAGAGATCTTAAGGGTGCTCCCTCCTACCTTCTGATATCACGTCATTGTTTGCATCCCCTTTGTCCCCCTTTGCTCCTCTTGAACCTTTCCCTCCTGGCATCCCATCTTTGCCAGGTAAGCCCAGTTCACCAGGGTCTCCTTTTTCTCCTTTCTCTCCTGGATCGCCTTTTGGTCCTGGTAAACCTAGGCATGAGAAGCTTGTTAGCCATGACTGTGAATACATACATTTATAAGACTATGATTCCTAAGGTCAACGTATCTTTCCCTCTGTTGTTTATTTTTGAAACTCACATCATGTATTATTTATGCCGTACCAGCCCAGTTGTTTTCTTCACTCTGAATTTCCTGTTGTGTGGCTTTGAGCCATTTCTTTATGATTTAACATAGCTTTGTAGCCAAATAATATACACTATCCATAAAACATGTTAGGATACATGTTGTACGATGCATAAAGCCCAGAGGCTACATTTTTCAGAAGTGTTCACTAATATTGCATGCCTGGCTTGGGATACCACGGTTCTGATTTTCTGAGGTGCTAAACATCCACAGCACCCACTGACCTGAGCGTGTCTGAGTGAGGAGGGAGTGTTCGGTTAAAAAAAAAAGTATTATTTTATCTTGAAATCCACTAGCATAAGTTTATCATCACTGGGGGGGAGGGGAGAGGGGGGAAACCTCTTTGACAAGAACCCACTCAGAACTAGAATATAATCCAGGAGTACTGACCTCTAGCTGTCTACTCTAGTCCCTAGTCCACAGTTCCTTCTTTCATCATTATTTTTAGTACACAACATTTCTTATATGGATATATGGATATATGTATACACACACACACACACACACACACACACACACACCCCCCTTTGTTTTCATTCTTTCATTTCTCTTTGCTAGTCAGCCAATGAAGCCTTCCTGATCCCTTTTTTCTAGCATTTAGGAAAACAACTTCTCCGAATGCTTCTTTTATCTCACAGATGTTGACCATGATTTGTAGGGCATTACACAGTCATCTACACAGCTCTGCTTGCCTTTCTTTTAACACAACACTGCACTCATTATTGGTAGAATAATAACTTGTGCCAACAAAAACAAAACCTCTCCCTTTCTAGTAAAATTACCTTTATTGTGTTCTTCACATTTTATTTATCTGACATCATGACAGAGCACAGCCTTCATTTCCTAGTAATGTCCTCATGCTGCCTCCTCATCCTGCCTCCACACTAGCTACAAGCATGATCAGTCCACATACTTTATGCAGCTGATTACCATTGAGTAAAATATTCAACAACACATTGTATTGTTGAGTCTTATGACTCCCAGCAACCTCATCAGCACATTTTGCAGTAAGGGGGAAAAATGAACAAGATGGGTTTCTACAATTCATGTGCCAAAATTTTGTCCTGTCTGCTTCTCTTCCTCTTCCCCAAAGCATGAAGACATTAGCACCCGCAGAAGAGCTAACAACTGTACTAGCACTGGAGCTGTAAATGTATAAATCACCGTCAGCTGGAAATGGATCATGTGGGTTGGTGATGGCTACTGATTGTAGAGAACCTCGGGTTTTTTACATGTAACTCAACTCTTTAAAATAATTCAGTGAAATGGGGAATATACTTAGAGTTCCTGTCTCCACTGAAGTCGATAGTAAAACTATCCCTGGATACAATGGGGCCTAGATTTCACCCCTGGTTTCTAACTTGCAAAATGTGTTGAAAAGTGCTAAAATCTCAGCCCTGGAGACTGAAGTCTTCTGCTTATTCACGGAACTGATACCACACAGGCAGTGTCAGTACAAGCTTCCCCATACCAACGTAACAATAGCTTCTAAGGGGTGGAGAACAAAGGCACTTCAGCCTCCATGGCTATTTAATCAATGGCCACTTCGCAGAGACTGCCAACGAAGAAGGCAGTCATGCCAGCTCCCTTGGTACTGTTTGTGAGTGAGACATGTGGTCGCTGAGGAATGTACCCCTTGGTTGCTGTCACAATTTTTAACTCGCATTTCAAGTGTTGCCAGTCACATGCCGATGCTGCTAACTAAGATTAAAAAACAAAAACTGGCCTTCTGACAGTAGCCACTGCTGCAGTGAGTGGGCAGGAGGCAGGCTGATAACAGCCACTCTTTAACACTCCCTCAGGTGGGCACAGCATGATTTTCAGCCACCTTTGTACCCCACCATCTAGACTTCTGCCAAGTGCCATAATGGAGAATCAAGACCAATGTGTCCAGCGGTCACAGAAGGTGACTGGGACTCTTGGGCTCTATTCCCAGCTCTGCCACAGACATGGGTGTGACCTTGAGCAAGTCAGTCAGAGTTAGAGTCACAAAAGGACTTGGTGCCTACCTGCCGCTTTTGGAGCCTAAACCCCAGAATCAGGGCCCACTGGAATTCACAAAATCCCCGCACAACTGCTGTCAAACCCTGTAAGCGCCTAAACTCGCCTGGCGCTTAAATTTTTGCAGTAAAAGTTCCCTAGGCGCCTATGTTTGTGCCTCTGCATGTGTGCAATGCTGCCTCACTCTAGGTGTCTGGATGCCTCAGCCCCAGCATGATGCACGGGCCGGGGGGAATACAGGCATTCCACCACCTAACTTGCCTGCTAGGCCCAATCCGGTAAGCATGCTTGCCTACTGGATCAGGCCCCCTCTGGCAACCTCACACAAAACAGCTGAGGAGAGAAGGACTCCAACCTCTCTAATAACTTTTAGTCTGCTGGTTCAGGCACTCACCTGGGATATGGGAGACCCCTGGTTCAAGTCCCCCTTCCACCTGAGGGGGAGAAAGGGTTTGAAGAGATCCTAACCATGGGGCTATGGGATATTCTGATGTGTGACTCTTTCAGTGTCTCCGGTTGGAGCTTTTCCACTGTGGCTAAATAACTGAAAGTCATTGGAGCATGGGGACTGGATCCTTGATCCCCCACCTCCCAAGTTAATGCTCCAACCACCAGGTTACAGAGCTTTCGTCTCTCTCTCCCTCTCTTGCGCATGCAGTCTCATATATTCCCTACCCACTGTACTAAAAGCTATGAGGGAGGTCCTCCTCCTCCTTGCACAAATGGCATTGGCGTTGAACTCCCTGAGATACAATCCTCTACTCAGCATCTCCCATTACCTAGCTTAGACATGGAGCAGCCTAGCATGCTGGTTTTTGTGAATCCCATTCTCAGGAGCCTAGGCTCCTTATACAATGATTGGGGAGAGATAGGTGCCTGAGAATGGGATTCACAAAAGCCAGCATGCTAGGCTGTGAATCTCAATGATTTCCTAAGCACCTAGAAGTCAGGTGTGGTGACACTGAGTGTTGCCATGCCAATGTTCCTTTGTGAATCTAGCTCCTATCCTGTGTGTTCATGTACACATCTGTTTTGTGAGGCATTTTGGGATTCTACAGTAGTGCAAAGTATTATTATTATTATTATGGCCAGCCCCAAGTTTTCAAAGTGTTTGTATTCATGCCCAGAGGCCCCAACCAAGCTCTGGACCCCACTGTGTTAGGCACTGTAACCCCCACCTTGTAAGAGACAGTCACTGACCCAAAGAACTTACAATATAAATACGTAAGATAGAAAGAATGGAAGTAAAGCAGCATTCTTGCCACCACTCCATTCCACTCACACATTGAGTGCCCACCTGCCTGCGGTCACAGTGATATATAATAAAGACAGGGTCTCCCCAAATTGCTGAAACCTTTTCAAAGGCTAGCTGGGGTCTCAGGGCCATAGCCTGGTGGGGGAATGAGAAACTCTTACAATGACAGGACACAACTCCCATTAATAATAGTTATTTGCATGTGGAAAATGCTAAGATTTAATTAAACTGCATTAGATCTCTCTCTAATTAGGAGTGTACTATAATCTCTAGAGCATATCTACGATGGCCAAATTCTCCTCCCAGTATAGTGTAAATCAGGAGTAAATCCACAGACGTCAATGGAGTGGCACTGGTCTAAAGCTGGTGAAGTCAACGGGAGTTATGCCTGTAGAAGAGAGAGCAGAACTGGGTACTATATGTCTTATTGGTAGTCTAGAACATGTGTAAATCTTTCCTGGTTTCCTGAAAAGATGGGGCTGGCAAGAAGAATACATTTACTGAAACTTATTTCCTCTGCTCAGAGTCTATAAGTAACTCTACTTGTGTATAATATTAATGAACACTTGGGTAAAATAGGATATATCTAGAAAGTACCTATTTTTCCTCTTCTTCCATTTACTCCTGGTTCCCCCTTTGGCCCTGGGATGCCATCTGATCCATTGTAGCCAGGTAATCCATCGAGTCCAGGAGGCCCTGAACAAACCAACAGGAGAGTGTAATTTACATTAACCAAATACTATTTACACTTCATTCTCAAATCCACTACATTTACTGTATATCCGCAGTTCTCAGAACCTGCCATTATTTGGGTTCAGAGTGTAGCACGTCCTACATGCCAGTGCAATGGCCTTCAATTTCTGATAACCAAGCATGAGTCCTAGCTTAAAGGTAAAGGGTAATATTTTCCCCATGATCTTTGAGCAAAACTGTGATTGACATCAATTGGTGCTGCACCTTTTGCCTCCAGACCAGTACAGAGAAACAGTTTGGGTCTTGTTCATGGGCTTTTAAAATGAGGGTCCTGAAGAGGCCCAATGGGATCATGACCACACTCCCTTTCTCTATGGCTAGATGGGAGAAGGAAACCAAAGTTATGGAAGGGGGTCCCCAAACCTTTTTTCTGTTGTTTTTTTCTGGGGTCATTTAATGGAAAAGGTTGAGAACCACTAAGAGTTCTATTGTCTGCTCTCCCCTGACTGTGTGATCTTAGACAAGTCATGTGTGTTGTAACCTTAACCTCTCTGGGTGCCAGTCAGCCTATCTGTCAAATAAGAATAACACTTGCCTACCTACTGTAAGGATTAAGTAATGCCAGACTGTGGTTGGCCTGATGTAATGGGAGAGGGCACTAGGAATGGTCTGTCCCCCCTCCACCACCCTTTGGACCCCTCACACCGGAGGGAAGAAAGCCAGACACTTAGCAGAAAATGGTTCTAGGAAAAACTGCAGTTACAAATGCAGGGAAAGAAGGCAAGTAATCACTCTTGTAGCCTGGCAGCCGCTTGAGGGGGAAGAGAAATCAGAAATAAAATGAGGACAGATAAGGACAAGGAAAATATAAACACAAAAATCACCAGCCAAAATTTTAAAAAAGAAACATTTTCAAATGTGGCCAATTAAAACAGAGGAGTTCAGTTCTACATACTTATCTCCTTAAGCAAACACTGCTTAAGCCCTGTCTATTTCATGTGTTTAATGTTTAACAAGTGCTTAGTTATAGCATTTTAGGGCTAAATCTGAACCATCCCCTTGCATGGATGCACAAGACCCAAAATACAATAAAATTAGTACAGTTCTGCTGAGTGGCGGATGAAGCACAAACACAACTGCGCAACCCTTATGTGGAATAGGACAGTGCACTTTGTCAACTCTCTGAGTGGACACATAGGGCAGGGGATTTGAGGACAGAGGAGTGGCCAGTGGGTCAAATCCCACCAGCCAAAAACCCTGCATGGGGCATATGCAGCAACGGGGGCTATGATCACTACTACAGTCCAAGGGACATAGATGCATCTGTTCAAGTATCCCCTGCCATACTACTGCGTTGGAGTTAAAGGATTCCATACAGCAAACCCTGTGTTGTTCCCATGCCCGAGTCCCATCTAATCTAATTTGGCGTGAAGATCAGCATTTGACTTTTAACTAGGAAAGCAAGACCCCAGCAGTTTGTGAAACTTTACTACTTTTCATTAAATTTAGGATTTTATGAAACTTCTCCAAGTTTCACAAAATATTTTCCTTGTCAACATAAACCATTGTTTAAAAAGGAAATTGAATTAAACGTCATGTATTTCCCAATAAATGGAAACCTGAACTACGCAATTAATAACCACTCTACGCTGAAAATCATCCCTGCCTCTAGGACCAGCAGAGGAATAAAATGGAAAACATGCAGCAGTGCACGGCTTGGACTTGGATGGAGCCAAACAGAATGTGAATGTCAAAGATTTCAAATTTGTTCTAAAAGCTACGGTTTTTGAGTAGTTTCCCAGGCCTCAATCCGGCAAAGGCTCATGCACACGTTTAATTGACATGAGATCCTCACGTATGTAAGTGTATGCAGCTTGGGCCTCAACTTTGGAACTGGTGAGGCTCTAATGGCTGCTGTTTCTTTATAAACTGATTGTCCTACAAATGAAGGCTCCTCAGCACCATTCACTGTGTAAAGGGATAGCTCAGTGCTAGGAGCCAAAGGAGATGTATGATCAAAATACAGACAGCCATTTGATCCGACTACATGACACATGCACTACAGCATGTTATATGTTTGTTCTTTTATTACAGTGTTTCCCAAACTTGGGACGCCACTTGTGTAGGGAAAGCCCCTCGCGGGCCGGGCCGGTTTGTTTACCTGCCGCGTCCGCAGGTTCGGCCGATCGCGGCTCCCAGTGGCCGCGGTTCACCGCTCCAGTCCAATGGGAGCTGCTGGAAGCGGCATGGGCCGAGGGACGTACTGGCCGTCGCTTCTAGCAGCTCTCATTGGCCTGGAGCAGCGAACCGCGGCCACTGGGAGCCGCGATCAGCTGAACTTGTGGACGCGGCAGGTAAACAAACCCGCCCGGCCCACCAGGGGCTTTCCCTATACAAGCTTAGGAAACACTGATTTATTCGATTATTAGATCAATTCAGTGAAAACATGATCCCAAAGTAAATAAGGCATCAGGCAAATATTAAAAATTATTAAATAAACAATGCATATGTATTAACTGTCGTGTGAAAACACACAGTGCAGCTATTGTTTACACTATGTGTTTCATAATCTTTAGTATTCAATTGATGCCTTATGAAGGGAAAGATCATTTTATGCAGAAAAAATGCTCATGATGGAAAACAGACATTATGGAATTAGTTTCCTGATTTGATGTGGGTCAGTTTGCTAATAAAGTTTGGAAGATTCTGCAATGTGGATCCTATTCAGAAACATTCATATAAAGATAATGGTATAATAAATTTAAAAAGGGCCAGAGTCACCAGCATGCTCCAGCAGCTTTTGTGTCACTCTGGTAATGCTAACCTGCCATAAACTTATTTTAGTTAGCCAGTGAAGTTGGGTTTACAGCTGCTTTGCATCACCAAAATGGAACAAAGCAGATGGAACTTCCTGGGGAACCTGGCCTAATAGGACAAGAATGAGAGGCAGGAGTAGCAACATAAGTGTAGGTAGGCAGGCAGGGGAGACGATCTCAGATTTATAATCCTTCTTGCTACTCTGAGACAGCCATGATAGGGACACCGGTAACTCTGGATGGTTGTAGCAAAGCAAAGGAGGAAAGGTGATCCTGTGGTTCAAGTATAGCATTGGGAATCAAGGTATCTGGGGCTCTCTTCATGGCTCTGCCATAGACTGTGTGTGACCTTAAGCCTGGTGTTCCCCAGTGTTCTTATCTGTACAATGGAGACAATTGAGGTGACCAGATCATCAACATGAAAACAAATATATACCTGACACTCTTTCCCCAACGATAAGCCTGTTCCCACACTGACCCTCTTCCCTCAGCTCCTGGGCTGGGACCTACTTCTGCTGGGCTGGTGGTGCTGAAACAACCCACCAGGCTCCACTTATAGCAGTGAGGGAGTGGCACCCCACAATTCTACCATCCACTTCCTTTCAGAAGTGCTACTGTGGCTGTTTTCCCCAGCGGCTAGGAGAATGGCTTTGCGGAGCCTACGGCAGCACCCTCTGCTGGGGAGGAATGGTGAATGTTGCTGTTGATCAAAAATTGGCTTGGCAGAATTCTGTTTGTTTATAATTTCAACAGACAATATTGATGTTTATTTTTAAGCATTTTTCCTATTTTATCTATTTAATTTTTCAGAGTTGCAGGAAATTATCGGAGGATCAGCCAATGCGGGGTTCAGACAATAATTATTTATAACAGTAGATGTTGAAATTCAAAAAGTTAAAGCCTTAAAACCACTAAAGCACAAATTATCAATATATGTCAATATATAAAAAGTGTAAATATCCTTAAGTCAAACTCTAATAAGTTCTGAAGCCGCATTTTTCTTACTTTCTCTATCTGTAAATTTGTATTATCACTGATGGAAATATTTTTTGTCGTTGTGTGTGTATTACGGTGAAATCAACGTTTACCAACATTTACCAATAAAAATCGAATCCTTCAAGTCTAACTATAAAATAGCATAGGTGTTGCATTTTAAAACTCAAAATGTTGAGGACAGGCTGAATTTTACTGAAAATTGGGACTGTTCAGGGGGAAGGAGTACAACAACACTGGAAGGATAACGACACTATATACCTCACATGATCATTGAGAGGCTAAAGTTGTGAATGTTTGCAAAGCATTTTGAGATCTTCTTATAGATGCTGTAGAGCTGCTAAAATTATTCTCAGTCTCAGTCTCCTGGAATAGCTAACAGATGGGTAGCGGTGGATTGGTAGACAGGCCTGGGTACCATGATGTGACGAACTGGGTCTGTTCTTACTGTGGTCTGTGAATGCTGACAGGGGAGTGTGGCTGGGATGGTCGGCCTTGGGGGATGGGAGACTGACTGGAAATACCTGAGCCTGTAACATGAGAACCCAGGAGGGGGCTGGGGCCAGGTGACACCTTTGCCCGGGAGACTGAACAAAGGGGGTGGGAGGGGTCGCTGAAGGCAGAGTCTCGGAAGCTGGCTAGTGACTAGGGCTTGGGGCAGACAGGGCTCTGATCTCCCAAGGGGGCCAGGGTGCCCGGGGACCCCAAGATGGACCTAACTGAGGGGGGTCCTGTTGTCTGCGCCTGTAAGACCTGTCTTGGACTGCATTCCTGTCGTCTAAATAAACCTTCTGCTTTACTGGCTGGCTGAGAGTCATGGTGAATCGCAGGGCGCCGGGGGTGCAGGGCCCTGAGTCCCCCCATACTCCGCGACAACTGGTGGCAGCGGTGGGATCTACTGCACCCCGTGGACGGCGCTTCCTGCAGTAAGTGACTGGGGAGAAGTAAAACGAAGGGGGATTGACGGGGACCAGGCGTGCTGAGGAGTCAGAGAGAGACGGTTATCACCCCTGGGAGTGTGTGACCAGCAAGAAGGACTTTTGCAGTAACAGGGTCCCCCGGGGGATCGCAGCTAGTGATCCCAGGGGCGGAGGAGTCTGCAGCTCGACCCTGGCAGAGAGGTGGTGATCTCGAGAAGGGCTGGCACACTAGGGGTCTCCCTGGAAACTGTGGGGAGCGGTGAGCACACAGGCCTGTGAGTGGCCAGCAGGAGGATGTATGCCAAGCGGCTTAAGAGCGACCTGGTGGAGCTGTGCAAGCAGAGGGGGGTGCGCATTGGGAAGCTCACCAAAGAACAGCTCATTGCCCAGCTGGAGAAGCGAGATCGCGCGAATGAACTGATCCCTGTCTCTGAGGGAAGCAGCCTGGCAGATGCAGCGCAGGCCCCAGAGTCTGTCCCAGCTGGGAGTGGTCAGCCGGCTGCTGAGGGCTTCCCGAGACCCCTCCTTCCTATGCCTAGGGGAAGGGTGGGGAGGAGCCCAGCAAATACCGAGGGCGCAGTGACCCCCCCGGCCAGCAGGGGATCCTCCCGGCCACGCTCGCCGGCCAGCAGGGGATCCTCCCGGCCACGCGCAGCATCCGTGGAGCGGAATGGGCTGGGATGGGAGATAGAGCTAAAACTGAGAGAGCTGAAGGATCGTGAACAACAGAGGCAGCATGAAGAGAGACAGAGGCGTCATGAACGGGAGGAGAATGAGAGACAGAGGCGTCATGAACGGGAGGAGAATGAGAGACAGCGTCAGCAGGAACGGGAGCTGGCGAGGATGAAGGGCCGCGAGACCCCGGCTGCGGTGAGTGAGGGGGGACCCAGGACTGCACGAAGCTTTGATAAGTGCATCCTGGCCCCACGTAAGGAGGGGGAGGACATGGATGACTTCCTGAATGCATTTGAGACGGCCTGCGAGCTGCACCAGGTTGATCCTGCGGACAGACTCCGGGTTCTCACCCCCTTACTGGACCCCAAATCCGTGGCATTGTACCGCCAACTGGACGAGGCGGAGAAAGGGAACTACGAACTATTCAAAAAGGTCCTGCTCCGTGAGTTTGGGCTGACTTCTGAGATGTACCGGGAAAGGTTCCGGAGTCAGGATAAAACCCCTGAGATCTCATATCTGCAACTAGCCGTCCGCATGGAGGGATACGCCAGCAAGTGGGCTGATGGGGCCCAGACAAAGGAGGACCTGGTTAAACTGCTGGTATTGGAGCAACTGTATGAGCGGTGCCCATCCGACCTGAGGCTGTGGTTGGTGGACAAAAAACCAGAGAACCCGCGACATGCCGGCCGGCTGGCCGATGAGTTTGTGAAGAGCCGGTCAGGGGCTGGCAGGGAGGAGTCCCAAAGGAGCAGGCCCGCTGCGATGCAGAGAGAGAGTCACCCGGGTACTTCCCAAAAGGGGAATGTGGGGAATCCCCTCCCATGGGGAATGCCCAGGGTCAGGGACAACCGACCGGCTCGAGGGGACACCTGGGACATGGTCTGCTATCACTGTGACCAGAGAGGTCACATACGGGCCCAGTGCCCCAGACTCAGGGACAGACTGAGCAGACCAGACCCACAGAGGGTTGACTGGGTAGAGACCCAGCCGGGCGAGAGGCGGCACTCCCAGGGAAGGGGGGCTGGCAGAATACCACCTGCTAAGGAGGAAGGAGAGCTCCAGGCCAGCTCCTCTGGGGGGCTGAATGCTCCAGACTCAAGGTTTTTGGTTTATACGGTGGGCGCAGGGCGGTCCCTCCGGAGAGAGTGCCTTGTTCCCCTGGAGGTGGATGGGAGGAAGGTCGATGGATACTGGGATACGGGCGCAGAGGTGACACTGGTCCGGCCCGAGGTGGTGGCCTCAGATCGGATGGTGCCCAACACCTTCCTGACTCTGACGGGGGTGGGTGGGACCCCATTCAAGGTACCTGTGGCGAGGGTACGCCTGAAGTGGGGGCCCAAGGAGGGCCCCAAGGACGTGGGGGTACACCCGTATTTGCCCACTGAGGTGTTGATGGGGGGGGACCTGGAGGACTGGCCAAGCAACCCCCAGAATGCACTGGTTGTGACCCGCAGTCAGAGCCGGCGAGGAGCACTGCGCCCTGACCTTGGGGAGGGTGCCTTGCCCGAGGCGCAGGACCCTAACCTGGTGGGGAGGGAACGCCCAGGGACACGGCTCAGGGAGGCTGCGGCTTCAGACCCAGCCGGGGAGAGAGAGCAGGTGGCCATCCCTGTCCCAGCTGCTGAGTTCCAGGCCGAGGTGCAAAAAGATCCCTCCTTGCGGAAGATAAGGGACCTGGTCGACCTCGGTGCGGTACAGACCATGGGGAGAGGTGGCCGAAAAAGGTTCCTGTGGGAGAAGGGGTTCCTGTACCGAGAATGGGCTCCCCCAGGGAAGATGGAGTCAGGGGGGATCAGGAGGCAGCTGGTGGTACCCCAGAAGTATCGCCGCCAGCTGCTGTACCGAGCCCATGACATTCCCCTCTCAGGGCACCAGGGAACCTGGCGTACCCAGCAGAGGCTGCTACGGAGCTTTTACTGGCCTGGGGTCTTTGTTACTGTCCGGCAGTACTGCCGATCCTGTGACCCCTGTCAGAGGGGGAGGAAGGCCCGGGACAAGGGGAAAACGGCTTTAGGACTCTTACCCAGGATAGAGGAGCCTTTCCGGAGGGTGGCCAAGGTTAAAAGGGGGGCTCTGAACCAAGAGAGCCCGAAGCACAGACCTCCAGACTGGAGCGCTGGGAGAAGACCCCAGCCTAGTTGGAACCCCAGGGGTATTGGGGTGGGAAAAGGGCACAGGCCGCATAACCCTTCCCACATGCGAACTGCGAATGCTCTCGAGCACCCCGACCTAAGGGGGGGGCGTGAAACTGGAGGGGCCTGGTGTAATTCTCACCAAGGAATGGGAGGGATGCGGGGGCATCCATGGGAATGGGGGTAGGTTCGAACTTCCCCGGGTCACTGGCTGAAGTGACCCCGCTCAGTTCGGTCTCGAAGGGGGGAGATGTGACGAACTGGGTCTGTTCTTACTGTGGTCTGTGAATGCTGACAGGGGAGTGTGGCTGGGATGGTCGGCCTTGGGGGATGGGAGACTGACTGGAAATACCTGAGCCTGTAACATGAGAACCCAGGAGGGGGCTGGGGCCAGGTGACACCTTTGCCCGGGAGACTGAACAAAGGGGGTGGGAGGGGTCGCTGAAGGCAGAGTCTCGGAAGCTGGCTAGTGACTAGGGCTTGGGGCAGACAGGGCTCTGATCTCCCAAGGGGGCCAGGGTGCCCGGGGACCCCAAGATGGACCTAACTGAGGGGGGTCCTGTTGTCTGCGCCTGTAAGACCTGTCTTGGACTGCATTCCTGTCGTCTAAATAAACCTTCTGCTTTACTGGCTGGCTGAGAGTCATGGTGAATCGCAGGGCGCCGGGGGTGCAGGGCCCTGAGTCCCCCCATACTCCGCGACACATGAGCTCACCACACTCAGCCAAAACAAGAATGAATGGGAATGATTAGATGCGGAACAGAAATAGCATAAGAATAGGCAGAGAGGAGAGCGAAGTCTTTTTTTCTCTTTGGCATAAAAATTACACCCCTGGGCCACATAATACAGTCAGGCTACAAGCACTTCTAGATGTTCAGCATCCAAATATTTTCTTATTAGTCTTAGGAAACTTTGGTTCATAGAATCAGGGCCACTCTTCAGGAATCGTGTTTTTTGATTCACCCCTCTCTCACAGTAACCTGGAGATCACTTTGTCAAGGGTATGTCTTTATACAAATATTTTTTAAACCACCAAGTGAATCAACATCATACCTACAGTATTATAATTGAAAAGGTATCTTACCTGGGGAGCCTGGAGGGCCTAAACCAAAAACAAGAAAAAGAACACGGGAAACAAAGAGAAAAAATGGTGAGTGTAACTTGGCAGCTCAAGTAAAACCAACACTAAACTCAGCTGATTAGCATTAGACCAAAACGAGACAGAAAAGAACTTTCAAACTTCTGCACTGGCACTTACTTTTAATACAAAATAGTAAAACCTGTAAGTACTGAAGCATTAGTGCAGATCCAGCCAGACTTGCTGTATAATTGCTTGTGAGGATAATCTTTCAAAAACAATGCCAAGCCCAGTCATTTCTTAAATTTCCACTGATAACAATTTGACAAAGATTGGCCTCTGAATTCTCAGTGCTATTGAATGAATTAATCAGGAGACAAGTGTTTATGTGCCTTTTCACTAATATGCACCTAAGTCATCCATTAATTATTATGTTTACATTACTTAGTGCCTCATAAGGAGTTCTCTAAAGCCTTGGTTGTGGTAATGGAAGAACAGGTCTACAATGTCTCAGGTTAAACGTTGCAAATGTCATGAGAAATTTTTTTAGAGACTATCCATTCCAAAGTACACACCTTCCTGGGTAATCAGCAAGAATTAACAGGTTTGAAATAGGATGGTTAAATATTTTCTCTTCTCTAATCTGCAGTAGCTATGGCTAAATAACAAACAGACTCCTGTTACTTGTAATTGTTCTCTGTTCGGGATTGGATCTGGTTGCCTGTGAAAGTTCATTGTTTGGTAACACTAGAAATTGGATTCACTCTAGTAATTCAAAGGATATGTGTAATACAGGACATTCCAGTGGAAGCTGTCAAAGTCTGTTCTGTATGTGACTTGAACTACATTGAAAACAAACCTCCACTAGGTGTATGCAAAATATTATCATTCATTTTTCATGGAAGAGAATCTTAGAGCCTGTAAATTAGGGTAGCTTTTACGATGTATGCTAAGGCCCCTTTGCACTGGCCAGAGCAATATAAAGGGGCCTTACCGTACATGACGTCTATGCCCATAATTCTCATGAGGCAGGAGTAAATAATTAATAAAGGGCATAAAAAGAAGTGGCAAATTATCTGTTCTATGTAACGTCTGGTAAAACACACTTTTGTCAAAAACTGGGGAAAGTTGGAAGATAAGAAGAGAGATTACTGCTGGGATTAAAGAACTGAATTCTCTGTACTAACATTTTTACCAGGGCGACAAAGAATTTTTTAAAATATAAAACTCTTCATAGAAATTAAAGAAATTTACAGATCTCTGACACTAAACCTGACAATTTTAAGGCATTCATTAAAAAGCTTTATAGGAAAAGTGAAGCACAGTTTAGAACAACACTAAACCTGCACTGACTTTTTAGAAATACCTGTAGATGCCAGTTAATACCCTTTTCAGTCAATTTTCCAAGAAATGCCTGACCTTTTCACCATAGACAATTTTTTTCTTAGTACTCTCAATTACTTTGTCATCTTGAACTCATTGAAGATGCTAGATGTCCTTTTATCACATAGATAAATAGAAAAGTACTTGAAATGTAGCAAATGTAATGAAGACAGCTAATGTCTACCATGTAGTGAGCTATTGTTAAAGCCAACGCTGGAGTGGGGCTTAACTGAGATGAAGATTCGGGGAGTGCACAGAAAGGGAGTTAGCAGGCATGGAGTAGTGCGAAGTCAGAATTCTGGAACCCAACACAAGCTGTACTTTAAGCTGTACTTGACAGTGGAGTTGTCTTTGTTCCAGTCAAATTTCACCTGCGCTTTCAAAGGGAGTTTTTGTGTTTTGTCTCCAATATATCAAGGCTGGATCCATACAGGGGAAAATTCCCACAAAATTCTAACTCATTTTGAATTCGGGTCAGTTAAACTAATATTAAACCCTGTTGGATCGGTAGTTCATACCAACTGCAAATGGCCTGAACTGTTTTACTGAACTGGTATCCAAACCTAAGTGGTTTACTTATTTTCTCATTTTCAAGTATGTATATCAGCTCCAGCAGCTCAGTCTACTATATACTTTGGCTAGCAAAGCCAAGCCCTTGGAGTAGCTAAAGCTTTACATTTTCTGGTTTTCCCAGACCACATGCAAACTTTTCATGCCTTCAGCCTGCCCCAGCCATCAAGTATTTTGAAATTCCTTTGGATTTCTGAGAAACCAACCTCAGAGTCTCATGATATGACCATCATCATCCTTCAGAGTCCACTACCTCCACTCCTACCTTAGCCATGGCATTTTCTACAGTGATACAAGGCCCGCCCTCCCACTGGGTTGTCCATCCCATGCTGATCTAGAATCAAGAGGCTGAGCTCCAGTCTTTAATGACTGTATAGCACCTTGAAGATACCGAGAGCTATTAAGTACCATTATAAAGATCCCAATTCCATAATGAGCTCTGCAAGGGTGGACTCCCATGTAGGAAAACTATCTGGGAAATAAACATCCCCAGGTAACAATGTTATTCTGGAGACTTTGTAAATTCTTGTATTTACAATAGCTCGGTATTATTACTACTACTATAGGATTGCTTCTTTACCTTTTTCAAAGGAACATAAACCAATGATACTGTACATTTTTAATCAGATCAATAGTATCATTCCTATAAAAATTATAGTCCTACAGCCTATAATTATCTCAAGCCAATTTTTCCTCCAAAAATTATTTCATCACCAAGCATACAGCATTCAGCATAATGCTATAGTAGTACTTGAAAAAACATACCTGTTAAGCATATCCCTTTTGTGCTGTTACATAAATCCACCATCACACGGACCTAATATTACAAAAGAATGTAAAATTCACAACAATGCACTGAGTTTCAGTTTCTACACAAAGGACAAACAAAACCTCTCTCCGGTTCACTTTATTCTTCTATGTGATTGCTGTGCAAAAAGCAGTTGGGAAAATTATCTACTTTACAACTACACCACCTTGTAGAATGTGAGCAAACTATTTAGGCCTTAACTTTGGCCTTCTGAAGACCTGCATATGTATTTGTAAATTATTCTATCTTTAAGAATCTGTGCATTGTACCATTTTAACAACATTTTTAAAAAAATACTGCATGGGCACATCTCTGGATGCAGTCAGAGTAGAAAGACTTACACCTTAGTTCACTTAGGTTATCAAAGATTATCAAGGCTGGCAGCAGCCAAATATGATCAGTGTTTAACTCAGACATATGTTCATTTATGGGTCATTTTCTATCATGCAACATAACTCAACTTGTTTACCAGATATATAAGGTGATCCCTACTAATTTCTTCACTTGACATAGTACAGAGCAGCATGTGATTTTGGAATTCGATTATTGGAACCTCATCCATTTGTGGCACTACAATAATTGGGGCATTTGTTCTGATACTTGTAATTGAGAGAAAGCCACAATTCATCATCTCAACAAGACCATCTTTATAACAATGTCCTTACGTTGTAGTAGGTATGCCTACTGATAAGTTCTGGTACTGTATTTTTGTCTACATTTCTTTCTTTTTTATTTACTTCCTAAGAGTGAACATTGTACTAATACAGGGCTCAGCACTGTGAGATGAGTACTCTCAACTCCCAGTGATTTGAATGGCAGCTGGCAATGTTCAGTGCCTTGCAGAATCAAAGAGTCCTTATGTAAGTGCTAGCCAAGATTTCTGATCTAAAATATGCTTTATCTCATCATTCAGTATACTTACAACATCTATCTTCAGATGTCACAAGTATCTTTCCAAGGTAATATAAAAACCACGGCATTATCTTTTAAGTAGTATACATTGTCGCTGTTGTAGCTAAGTTTATTTTTATAAATCAAAAGATACAAAGGATCAAGTTTCCAGCCTTCAATTGCGCTTGAGTAAAACTGTGCCTCCACTCAGCACACGTGCATGCATTTGTTTTTGCATAACCTTGTGTGTGCCCTTTAAATAATCTGAGGACATGCAAGGTTTACCATTTGCACCTGCAAAACCCATTGTCAACCAACTGTCATTTAATCTGTTCTTCAATCTGGAAAGTTACTGAAGCTAGGGGGTAGAAAACGCATGCGTCATGGGATCCGTAATGGGATATGTACTGCAACTTTTGTTCTGTTGGTTATTGTTTCAAATCCAGCCCACAATGGTATTGACTAAAAGCTGTTCTGAGACCTGTGTGATTGGTAGCTCCTACTAGACAGATGTCCAGGTCATAAAAAAAAAAAACAATAAATTTAGTGCTTATTGGCACCCTTGTTGGTAAACTCAAACAAGGAGACCAAGAATTCAATGGGTATGGAGAGTAAACTTTCCTCATATCACCAATAAGTCAGAGTCAAAGCTCTTTAGCTGAGGAGCATGGAGAAGTTTATACCACCATCTTCCCTGCTGAACTTCTGCTGTGGATGGAGAATTTCTGTCTCCATGGCTGTCAATTCAGCCCTTTTCATCAGCTCTAGGCTCACTTTAAACTTGGTTTAAAAAGAAAAAGGAGAGAACACCAAACACAGAAAGTGAGAGAGATACCAGGCTTCAAAGAGTTCTTCAACAAAATCAAGGAAATCAAGACCTGATATTTCTAATGTAAAAAGACAAGTCAAGTCAGTTTTAAAAAAAAAAGTATGAGGCTGTCTTTATAAATCATTTAAAATAAAAATTCAGGATACAAAAACAAAAACAATCTGGGACACAAAGGTGGTTTGGTGGGGGGGTTTTTTGTTTTGTTTTTGGTTTTGGTTTTTGCTTTGCTATTCACCTATCAGAACCACTGCCTCTGATTTTTTGTCTCTGGATCAGGTCTAGGGGTTCTGCAGCCTTAGACAAACTGGCAAAACATGACCCCTACTAGTTCACTGTCATCCACACAGAACACTAACTGAATGTTTTACTGCCCCATAGATGTGATGGTGATGGTCTATCTCAGAGATTCTCAAACTGTGGTCCGCGGCCCACCAGTGGACCGCAAGCTCCATTCAGGTGGGCACACCTATGCGGCCGCACACCAGAGAACGAAGGGCCACCCACCTAATTAGTGGAGCCGTGCAGGCGTGGTTCCTCTAATTAGGTGCCTGGACCCTGGAGAAGACACACATGTAAGGTGAGGTGATGGCCTTGGGGGGAATAGAGGGTAGGTGGGAGGGGGAAGTGGGATTAGAAGAGGGGGTGGGGGGAATTTGGGATGTGCAGGGCTGCAGGGGCCAGAGAAAGAGGCGACTTTCCACGAGGGCCGGCTCCAAGTTTTTTGCCGCCCCAAGCAAAAAAAATGTTCCGCGCCACCCCGGCCCCGCCCCAACTCTGCCCTTTCCCCAAATCCACCACCTCCTCCCCCGGGCGCGCTGCATTTCCCCCCTCCCTCCCAGGCAAGCCTGGGAGGGAGGGGGAGAAGGGGAGCGGCGATGCGCTCGGGGGAGGAGGCGGAGGTGAGCTGGGGGGAGCGGTTCCTCTGCCTCCCCCAGGGTTACTTCCTGCGGCCCTCCCCGCACCCCCCAC